TTACCAAAAGCTACACAATATAGAGAATGTTCACAAACTGATAGTTATGGCCCCCACATAAGCAAAGCACTTAAGCATATGCTTAACTTGGGACTTAGACACCTGAGTAAGAATGAGAGAAGATATCTAGATGATCTTCTGAATTTAGGGATGTGAATGGGTAAGCAGATAACCTTAATGGGTGATGGTGCTTACCTGGTAATGCTGAACCATAATCTGGGAGCAGACCTCCACCAGGAGGATGAGGGGGAAGGGTGAAAGTGGTGGTGTCTGTAGTTCCACAATTCAAGATGTTTGGAAGCAAAACAAAACTCCATTACTGAAATGCTCTGGTATCTTTTCAATCCAGTTCAATCTTAGAACTGTTGGAAATTCGTTGTTGAATTCAGAAAGTGTTCCTTAGGGTACGTCTAGATTACAGGCTTTTGTCGACAGAAGTTTTGTCGACAGATACTGTCGACAAAGCTTCTGTCAACAAAGAGCGTCTAGACTACATTCAGTTCTGTCGACAAAGCAAGCTGCTTTGTCGACAAAACCCTGTAGTCTAGACACAACCCTAGATGCAATAACACCTTCTGTCGACAGAACTCTGTCAACAAAAGGCGTTATGCCTCGTAAAATGAGGTTTACCAGAGTCGACAAAACTGCTGAGTTCTGTCGACGTTATGTCGACAGAACTCAGCGGTAGTGTAGACGCAGGTATAGTTTTGTCGACAAAAGTCCACTTTTGTCGACAAACCTCTGTAGTCTAGACACACCCTTAGTTTTATGTATGTGCTTCACTTTCAAAAGGATGGTACTTTATATTTCTCTCAAAGCTGGTCCATAAAAGTTCTATAGCATCACAACTGTGAAAACTGGCTTGTGTAAAACATGTTGGTATTTTGGCCCCAATTCAGCTAGGGATATACAATCTCATTTAAGGAGTTAACCTAAGGGATAAAAGGAAAGCACAGTGTAGACATACCCTCACAGCTAAATACGAGATCCAACAGATAGCTTAGCATAAGTAGTTAGCACATACTCTAAAGGGATCATTCAAGGTGAAATGGCTCATTAGCAACCCTTCAGTCAGAGAACAAAAGGGAAGGTAGGAGGCTACAGTTTGCTGAAATAAACCATAAATCCAGTGTCTATTAAACCATTATTTTTAGTGTCTGGGAAAGTTATGAATTTAAGCTCCAGTGCTGTCTTTTGAAAGGGACAAGTTTTGTGCAGATTTTCTTTTAGGATGAGAACTGATAGGTCAAATACAGAGTGAGTGTTTGGCGAAAAGTATTCAGCCTCAGGTGATAGGGTTTTGTGTGTTTTATCATTTTCCCATGTGAGTTAATTTGAGATCATAGTGGCTGCAGATTTTGCATCTGTTATTCTGGCTAGATCTGGTACCCCACAACAGAACTTGACACTATACTACAATGAAGAACTAGAAGAATTCCTCTGTAAGCTCTATCTCAAATTATTCTTTCAACACTCTCTATTACCATGTCCCCACCAACAGTTATAAGAAATTAATCATCTGCCTAGACACCACAGAGCAGGCAAAAATGCATTCTTGATCATTATGTTGATTGACTGTGAAATCTGTGAAATCCTTAAACATCACACACACCCCAACATCTCCACCATCAAGAGGACAGATATACAGTCCCTGAAAACTAACCACCAGAAAACAATCAGCAGACAAAGAGGACACGATCACAGTCCTCAACCATGATGATTATGTGAATAAGGTCATCAGACAAATCTCTGACAGCATTTACTATAAGGAACTCAAAGAGGACCCCACACCACAGTTTACCTGGGAATTTATGGATATCATCAAATCCTTCCACAAACAATTCCAGGAGAAAAATCTACAACCTCATTCCCCACAAACCCACTGCAGGGACCTTCTATGTGCTTTCCAAGATACACAGACAAGGGCACCCAGGCAGACCCACCTTACCAGGCCACAATACTTTTATTGATTGAATATTAGGGCTCATAAAAACCATCCTGTAAGAGATGTATTCCCCATGCTAGTCCTGAGAGGGCTAAAATAGGCCAGGCTAAGCAAATGACCTGATTAGGCAGCCAAAGAGGAAGTCTGGTGCTGTGTGGAGAGCTTTGATTACAAAGAAGCCCACCAGCGAGGGAACAGGCAGGGCTTCTATAAATCTGAGAGCTGATAACTCCTAGGGAAGGGGTGGGCAATCATATTAGAAGGGGAAGCCACCTCACAAATTTTTGAAGGGCTGGGCCTTGAGTGGAAGGGGCGGGGCTAGGACACTGCCATGCTCCCCAGCCCACAGACCCTGATTGGCCTGGGGGTGGGGAAGAACATGAAGTCTTTGCCTCCTGTTCCCCGGCGCCTACAGAGAACTGCCAGCTGTTCAGAACAGCCGGCGGTTCACTCCAGATGCCACACGTCCCTGGCAGGGAAAGGAGATTTCGTGCACTCCCCCGTACCCAGGTCTCGATGGGCCTGAGGGTGGGGGAGCAGCAGGGTGGCTGTGGGCTAGACTGACCCATTTGGCAAGCCAAATCTGGCCTACGGAGGCTCTCTTGTCCACTCCCTCTTAGAGGAAAGAGAGATGTGTTTGGACTTTACAGAGTGTAAAAATTAGGGATGTTAGCTATCAATTAATTGAATAATCGTGCCAGTGCATCAAAACTTAGCGGTTATTCCATTATTTGATAGTCCCCCGGGGCAGGGCCAGCAGCCAGTGCGCTCCTGGCCCCCCTCTCAGGGAGCACCCTGCCATCCCACACTGCTGCCTCTGTATCAGCGCTTGGGGTGATCTGGATCTGGGATGGCTCACACGAACCGGCCAACGCATAGGATGGCTCTGACTATAATCCAGATGTACAGAGCTTAGGGTGCCTGACTTTCCTGAAGTGCCACTCGGAGGCCATGCAGAAGGACAGCCAGGGAGCACTGTGGAGAACAGGCACTGCACAAAGTACCACCCATGAGACACGGAGTGGCAGTAACCAGTGGTCCCCAATTAGGATTGCCAGGCATCCAGTTTTAGACCAGATCACCCAGTTGAAAAGGGATCTTGGGAGTGCTGGCCGGCCCAGTCAGCAGCACAGTAGGGACCCGGGACTAACGCAGGCTCAGTATCTGCCCTGGCTCTGCCCAGCTCTCCGAAATGGCCACTGGGGTGGTTTGTGCAGCCCCATGGTGCATGTGCAGCCAGAGAAGTTCTGTGCATTGTCCCTGCCCTGAGTGCCAGCTCTGCAGCTGCCATTGGCCAGGAACCATGACCAAGCTGTGGAAACAGCATCTGTGAGTATGAGGGAAGTGCACAGAGCTTCCTTGCCTGTCCATGCACTTAGGAGCTGCAGGGACCAGGTGGCATAATAAATTGCATTACTTCCTGCACTCCAACCCTCTGTCCCAGCCTGGAGACTCCTTCTGTACCCAAACTCCCTCCCCAAACCCTGCACATTCCCTCCCAACCTTCTGCACCCAGACCTGAGTCCCCTCCTGCACCTCAAATCCTCATTCCTGGCTAGAACTCTCAACCCACCACATCTCAACCCGCTGCCCAGCCCATAGCCCCTTCCTTTACATCAAACCCTCCAGCCCCCACCCCCCCCCATCCACAGCCCTCACTCTCCCACACCCCAATCCTCTCCCCCAGCCAGGAGCCCCCCCTGCACAAATCCCTCAACCCTTGCCCCATCCTAGACCCTACACCCTCAGCCTGTGCCCGCACCCCATCCTGCACTCCAAGTCCCTCAGCCCCACCTAGAGCCCGCAACCCAAGTTGGAGCCCTCCCCCCCCAAATTTCAATCCCCTACCCTAGCCTAGTGAAAGTGAATGAGGATTTGGAAGAGTGAACAACAGTGAGATGGGGAATGGAGCAACCTGGGCATGGAGCATTAGAGAAGGGGCAAGGCCTGGTTGTTCGGTTTTGTGCAATTAGACAGTTAGCAAACCTATCTCTGATCGGCCAAATGCCCCTACTTAATCCCAGGAAGTTATCTCATTGCAGTCTGATTTCAACCCCGACTCGTGTCAGCCAGTTCTAGTCTGATATTGTCTCTGAACTCCAATCTCCGACTTCAGCTTGATTCTGACCCTGATACCTGTCTCTTGATTCCAACCTGGTATTGCCTCTGATCTCTGGTATCTGACCCTCTCCTGACTCTGACTCTTGTGTATAGGACATGGTCTTGCAGTTCCTCAAATTCCTGCCTAATAACTCTATTCCTCATGGCAGTCCTCAGCCAGCTGTGCCCCCTAGGCTAGATTACCGACATCCTGGTCCCTGACACAGAAGCAGGTAGCCTACAGTTACTCCCTGGGAGGAAGAAGTTGGAATGCTGGTAAACCCAGAGCAAGAAGGGAGCCTGACATGTGAAAATCTCAGGGAAAGTGGCAGCAAGATCCATGAGGGAAAAAGACTTGGCTGCTTCTCAGAGGGTCTCTGAGCTGCAACAATGAGTAGAGGGTGGATCCAGGTTTCCTCACCTGCCTTGGTGAAGTGGCACTACCTGGGAATGGGAAGACTGCCTGAGTCAGTCTGGTTTTAATAAAACCCATTTCTCACATCAACAATAATCAGTGTAATAAAAGATATTACCTCACCCACCTTCTCTCTCTAATACCCTGGGACTGATACAGCTACAACAACACTGTAAAGCACTATCAGAGTTCTCTCTGACTGTAGGTTTTATTGTTAAAAATGTATCCCTCCCTCCACTTAAATGGTGCAGACACAATTAGACAATTGTATTCTAATTATCTGAGCTCTTAAGAATAGATGGTGGGTGAACATAGGGCCGGGGGAAGCAAGCCCTCAACCCCTTCTGTGCGAGGCCCCATCTCACACAGGAGCCAAGCCCTCACCCCACAGGAAGAAGGTGGCATAAGAGGGAAACCTATAGGAATATTTTTCTGGATTTGTGCTCATAATTGTGTAGCTGATGAATATCTTTAAAAAAGATAGTTTTAAAAAAGTTGCATGACAGTCTTGGAAGTCTTAAACATTATATAAATATTTACCAAGATCCTTAATAAGAGACAATGCTTCCCATGATATAAATGCTCCACCACCGTCATCCATGGCTCCCTGCCCAACATCCCAGCTGTCCAGATGTCCGCTGACTAGTACAACCTAAAAATGCAATAAGAAAAGGACATGTATATGAAAACAACAGACTAGAAAAGCCATACAAGATACTTCTATGTATTGTGCTACAAGAATTCATGGGGTAGGTGTGCCCCATGTTGTTTAAAGATTTTCAAAATTCTGCTTTTTAGTTAACAGAAGTGTAAACCGAGGACCACACGCCTTGTCATCCTGGCTCAGAGCATTGGCTTAATGAAGTCTGGTATCCTGCATCTGCTAGTGACTAATAACAAATGCTTAAGTGAAAGATTTAGCCCTCACAGCACGCCTAGCAAACTGCAGCAATCAGTTTAAACTTTTAAAAATGAAGAATGATTAAATTTATTTTAAGATGTATGACTAGTAAATATGTACTTTGACTGTCGGGTCTCCAGGGCAGAGACTGTCATTTTATAACTTGTTTGTACAGTCCCCAGCATAGGGAGACTATGGTCCATGACTGGAGCCCCTCTGAACATGCTACCACAAAATAAAACACCACCACCATATACCTCCACCACTACACAATCTACCAGCACTGTGTAGTGTTATAATTACAGTAGTCAGATAGGAATTTTAAAATGAATAATATATGCGTTTAGAATCCTAGAATCCTAGAATACTAGAACTGGAAGGGACCTCGAGAGGTCATCGAGTCCAGTCCCCTGCTCTCATGGCAGGACCAAATACTGTCTAGACCATCTCTGATAGACATTTATCTAACCTACTCTTAAATATCTCCAGAGATGGGGATTCCACAACCTCTCTGGAAGACACAAATTATTATAAGTAAATATTTGTCAATATTATCCAGTTCTTTTTGATCCTAAAAAAACAAACAAAAAAGTATTTAATTTTAATATACTATGGCTGTGAATGTCTTACACTGGCTACACGCTGCAGATGAAATCTACCCTACACAAAGATGGAATATCTGCTCTGAGCAGGAGATAATTGTTTTCAAATATATCAACTGAAAAAAGATATCCTGAACATATCTGGAAATAAAGCCTGCAGTGTATGTGGTAACACGGTCATTAAAATGAATCTCAAGAGGGTATCTGGTACACAGATTTTGTGAACACATACTGCAGCTGGATTGACATAGGTTTGTTACTGTCCACTGTATCAGTGATCTGCAAACTAAGATTTTAGTGAAGAAATGTAAGAGTTCTGAAGGAGGTGTTAACTGTCTAGAATGTCAAAAATTGTCTGCACCAAAACTTTAAAATGGCTATGGTATTTAATCAACAATTGGTTCTGGAAAAATAAATGATCACTCCTGGGAAATATAACTTCCGGGTGAAATGAATTGAGGGCACGTTTATAAACATATTAAAAATTGAGTTTATAATACATGTAATGCCTTCACTGCCACAGTGAAAGAACGCCTCACTAACACTGGATGATGTTCCCTGGCAACAATCTCTACACAAGAGTCTGATAGGGAATTACTTCTTATTCTTGTGAAATAACACATATTGCAACAGCAGGAAACTTTGAATCAGACAATGGTGTAATCCCTCATGGGATTACAGACTCTAATCACAAAGCATCTTTCCCAGCTTCAGAACATTACACTGAAACAGATTAAGATTCAAGTGGATTGAGAGCATTTTATGGATGAACTTTTACTTATATTAATGCCAAGAATAATTAAGTAAAGGCAACCAGTGTACTTCTAAGAAATTTCACAGTATAGACTTGCTTTTTGGCTATCACACTTCTACAGTAACCACTGTTATAGAGATTCTCTCCAGGAATTCTCCCTGCATTGCTTAACGATTATACACATGCACACACATTTATTCTGATTAGTAAAATATATTGTAAAAGGAGACCAAAGCTCTAGGAACTTTTGACATAAATTACAAAAAAGTATAGCAACTCAAGCTACAAGTCAACCTCCACTAAGAGTCCTTCCAAACAAAAAAATCCCAGGACTCTCACAAAAATTCAATGCCCATGTTTGCCCTTGGGCACACAAATGGATAGGGTTTATAGAGGAAACATTTCTGCAGAGAGTTTCCCCTTTAAAATAATATAGCAGTCATTTGAAGTGGCTTAGGGGTCTGTGGATGCATTAGTAGACTAAAGTACTGTGAATTAGTGAATATAACACATGGGTTATACAAGTTTTTACAAACCCCGCCTCCCACCCCCCCGGTGGGGTATACATGTCCGTGTCTTATGCAAGCTGATTTTTACTCAAATTAAAAGAAGACAAGACCAACATGATACGGCACATTGGCTATCTCTGTGTGCAAGAACCCACTTCACCAGTTTTTCTTCTAGTTTTGGCCACTTGGCTTTCTTTCCTTGGAGTGCTCTTTTCCGAGGATTTAATTTCTCAATTTCCTCTTCTTCTTTTCTTCACTCCTGAACAGACTTTTCGTTGATGGAAAATTTTCTCCCCGCTGCTCTATTGCCATTTTCTTTTGCATATGTCAGAACAGATAATTTAAAATTGGATGTATATGATTTGCACTTAGGCAGCCTTACAAATATTTTGTTATAAACTGAAGAGGTTTTAAAATGGTGTGGTTCGTAGGGCTTATATACCGGTAACAGGGTAGTACTTATTGCTCAGCTGCCTCAGCTGTGGTTCATTACCGGTTCATTACCTGCAGTTCATTATCTGCAGGTTATGTACATCTGCGGGTAATCTAAGATTTTTTTTACACATGAAAGAAAAACTGTGGGTAATACACAAGTGCGTGTTATACATGAACGTGGGTTATATACACTAATTTACAGTAGTTGAGGTTATCAAGGATGTATAATAAATGATTATTCATATGAATTTCCAATTTGTCATATAGCTGTCACCTCCACAGATGTGCTATATACTTTCTACTGTATACATACATACAAATAGAGAGTTTTTAAATGTGCACCAAATTTCCACATATAACACTGTCTGTTGGTGCAGACAGAACATAAGCATAAAATAATGATATAAGTAATCTATTCAGTTTCACTAACAGAGAAACACAAAGATCTGTGTAAGACAGCATTGGAATACATGTGCCAGTTCTATAAAGATATTTTTTAGGATTAGATAGATGTCCATTCAATATGACAGTCCGAGCTTTAGCTTTTCTGCAGTTTCACTGTAAAGAAATTATTTTTCCATCACAACATTCTTATAAAGGGCAATAGGAAAAAAAGTAAAACAGGAAATGTTATTTTATTTCCTTATAGGCCAGCACTGTTGACTGATATCAGATACCTGTCAGTCATACACTTAATTTCTATCAATCAAGCTGCACTTACTATGAAAGCTAGCTGAATCATTATCCATCTATCCCATCCACCCACCCACCAGGGGGCACTCCTTTTCCAAGTCTGAGTGCCTTATGCCACTACAAAACAATCCTCCATGTCATATTTGCTCATTCATACTCAAGCCGTTATGCAAAAATTGTACACATGCCATTAGGAAGACAAGGTAGAACCATTATAGGAGCCACTTTCAGACTCTTCTCAAGAAACCCTTTCTTGACGCCGACCCTCTTCCAATTACCATCTTATCTCAAATCCTTCCTTTTTGAGCATGGTGTTTCGAACAGGTGTGGTAACGGAACTGTGCTATATGTGGAGTCACTATTATAGGCAGTGCAGGTAACTATGCCCAAAGTTAAGGTTGCTCAACATTTTCAATTATGAGAGTCTGTATTTCATTGTTTAGAACTTTTCCAAACTTAAATCACTTGACATTAATTTTCCATACCTTGTGTCTGCTTCTGGCCCCCCCCAGCAAAATAAAATACATCAGAGATAACAGGGCAATTCCAGATTGGCATACCAAATGCAGTTTTCTAATATGCAAAATATGCAGGACCAATATCTGAGCACAGCTTTAGGCAGATCACTATATTCAATCCAATCAAAAAACTGCTTTAAAATTGTGGTATCCCCATTTCAGAAGTCCTTTCCTTACCCCCATCCATCCTACATGCATAAAACCCTAAAAAATACCAACACAATACTGCTGTTTTCCATAAGTAGGACTAAAACACTGTTAAAACTACTCCTCAGGTAGAGGAATCCACTTACAAATTGGGGTCTGTGTGTTTAAGCACATACATGAATAAAACATATGTATTATTATTATATTACTATAGTGCCTAGGAATCTCATTGATGGACATGAATCCTATTTAGCTAAGCCTTGTACAAACACAGGACAAAAAGACAATATTGTTAGCTGGATAATTTGCCCACTCTGCCAGTATGGCAACTGTGAGTGGGCAGGTTTCTGCAACTTACAAGAATCCAAGGATTCTCTGTTTTATAAGAAATAAAAAAAGAGCAGAGACAGAAGGGTTTATGCATTACTAACAAAAAACTGATACACTTAAGCCTAGCACACCCAAGAAAGTCTTTTAATTAGTATCTTCATATACATGCTATACAACTGTGGCATTGCTCTGAGACACTCTTTAGAATGTATTATTTATAATAACAATAGCTTCAAATTTCATCTGGGAAAATGCTAGAGTACTGTATTGAAACACAGCATGTAGACATTAGCATCCATGATCACCTCTCTCAAATTATTCCTTAATTCATTGGCTGTAATATAAAATATGGCTTCTGCTTATTTTTTGTTAATATTTCCTGTACATTTTTTGGTGCCCAGACTTGTACCCTGACCCCCACTTGCAACTTCCCCGCCCCTCCCCCAAAACCCCTAAAGGTGGCCTACCCTACTGCAGCAACATATCTCAATCCATACAAAACAACTGCCTTTACAATACCTACATTCCTCATCTACAGACTAGTTTTTAAATATAGTACAGTAGTTCCATATGAGTATAATGTGATGGCATTTTAAAATCAGTCTGTTGTCTGTTCCATCAAGTGCTTTTCTGAAATCTAGATAAATCAGGTCTTTTCTTTCATCCTTCTCCAGTCTGATAATGTGCTTGAAAAACTTGAACTGAATTTGTCAGGCATGTGCTTCCTTTCATGAATCCAATTTAACTGTTCCAAGAACAGAAG